AAGGTGCAGGCTATTTGTTGGTACCTCGAATAGTGCGGGCTACAGCTGGGGGTAGAGCTTTCTCTTACAAAGCCCCACAGTTATGGAACAGCCTTCCACTTAGTGTTCGGGGCTCAGACACAGTCTCAGTGTTTAAGTCTCGGCTGAAAACATATTTGTTTAGTCAAGCCTTTTGTGAATAGTTTTTTCTTAGGTACAGTGGCAGGTCTGGAGGGTTCACAGGCATAGAGTGTTGTGGTGAACTGGGATGTTTGGATGCTGTCGCCCCCCCACTCTCACACGTTCACTCAGGTTTGTCGATGGTGGAGTGGCTGCTGCTTTATGTCCCAGGAGCCCTCATGTCTGTGTTAGCTTCTGGCTCTCCCTTTTAGTTATGCTGTCATAGCTAGTCTTGCTGGAGAACCTGCTTGCACTCTGAAGGCAAAGTGCATCATCTTAAACCATTACAGAACAAGAACATAATAATCTAATAATCTGTTGTCTGGATGTTCATTTCTGGATAGTCTAAAGCTAGCAATTGCTAAGAAAAAATTACACTCAAGTCTCAATCAATGAACAGTTGATAAGTTACAAGAGATACAAGAGACTTAAAATTAAAAAACTAATGATGGTCATACTCAAGTTCCTGTTAACACACTTAGCACTGCTTGACTTTATAGTAAGAGAAGATGGAAGAGAGATGATTTCTAATTGCACTGCTTGATGTCACCCAGATGAGGATGGGTTCCCTTTTGAGTCTGGTTCCTCTCAAAGTTTCTTACTCATGTTGTCTCAGGTAGTTGTTCCTCACCACCATCGCCTCTGCCTTGCTCATTAGGGATACATTTAAATTCTATATCAGGACTTTCTGTAAAGATACTTTGTGACCACGTGCTATATAAATAAAACTGAACTGAATGTTTTCTTGTGATGGTGCAGAAACACCACCACTGCCAGCTGCTTTTGACAAAGTGTTTATTTTGGTGGTCTGGGGATCAGGTGTATTTCAGTATGGATCTGTCCAGGTGCAAAAATGGTGTAGTGTGTGAGCCTCACTGTGTAGCGTGAACGTCTGCAAAACACCCGATCACAAGTGACTGAAGTGTAGTGGGAGTCGTAAAGCGAGAGAGAGATTCAGAAAGTGGTGTAGAGTTCTTGGCATAACAGGACAAAGCTCAGGCAGCCATCATCAAACCATCACTGCTGCATTAAACGAATCCCCATTACAAAGATCAAAGCGTGACTCAGGTCTGAGCTCTTATATCTGACAAAAAGGGATTTACACAGCTTTACACAAAGAAGGAAAACAAATAACCTTTGTTAAGCTGTTCTTTAAGCATTAAGAATTGCTCTTTGAGGTTTTTGCTCATGTAGACCTGGAAACACTAAAGCAAAACTCTGACTATTTTACTTAACTTCAAGTACATCATACATATCTCTATGGCAACACATTAGGACACCTCTAACCACATATCGTGTATACTTTGGGGAACTGGCCGAGACCTACTTTAACATCCGTGCACAGATGCTAGAACATGGAAGTGACAGGAGTGAACACTTATTAGCATAAATGCTATACTAATATTGCATTACAGAATGTTTAGACTGCAACACAACAAAGTGTAAAATTATAACCAATAAGATGTCAGGAACAGAGTCGTATAACGTTCACTGTACATGAGAAATAACTTCGACGGGGCCACATTCTCAATTAAACATTTATGGCTTCATGACGTTGTGCACAATTTTTGAGTCGACTCCAACGAACAGTGAAGCCTTTTCAGTTCAGTTTCACCCATTCCACTTTAATAACGTAGCATCACGGGAGAAACAGGACGCCTGCACTGTGAGAGAAATATAATGAAAGTAGTGAAGTACTGACCTTCTCTGTAGTGTGTGTAGAGTGCGTGCTGAGGACAGACGAGTTTACTGCACGACTTTAACAAGAACAGAGACACACCTGTGTCCCATCTGCGCTCATTTGACTAAGGTGTGCTCTTACCTGGGCGTGATCTGCTGTTTGTCACTGGAGTAAAACCACAGACACACCTTTATTACCAAATAAACACACAACAGACCAGGCGCGCGCACGCACGCACACACACACACACACACACACACACACACACCAGACCAGTCTCTCTCTCTCTGTCTCTTTCACACACGCACAAGACCAGTCTCTCTCTCTCACACACACACACACACGCACAAGACCAGTCTTACACAGACCCACACAAACACAAACGACACTGCTAACCCTAAACACTGCTGATCTCTATAGCCGCTAACTGACATTAGCGTCCAGTGGCATTATTTACACTTTCACAGCACTCCATTCCCATTTCCTTCTCAAATCTTTACAATAAGTCTGTGAGCTGAAGCTGAAACTGCAGGAGTTTTCATTGATCATAAAAACTCTCTTTAAAACCTGTTCCATGTTCTGCTCACTCTAATCATCTTAATGTGGCTTAACACGCCTTCAAAACCGTTCGTTTGTTTGAGGAAGTCCTAATTCTTTCCTCTCCGATGGTTAAATCTGACGAGGAGAGGCACTGGCCCATCAGAGGCGAGGAACCCGGAACGCCGCTGTGTCCAGACCTGCACCTTTGGGGAAGCTGATTATTTAATGTCTGTGTCTCAGTTTGGGTCTGAGCACCAGCTGTGTGGAGACAATCTGAGACAAGCAAAACAACTTCAACAAGAAGAATCATGGAGTTCAGTAAGATGGAGACGTGACTCACTCCACTGTAAACACTGTACGATAATAAAGAAAGAGTTCCCAGGATATGACACTGCAGTTTCATGACAAGTTTAAAGCTTAAAGTTTAAAGCAAGTTAAAAGGCATATTTGTGCTGTGACACAGAGAGGGGGTTTATGGGTAAGTGTTGCGTGCAGGGCGTGGCGTACTGATGGACTAACAGCATGGGGTGTTTATCTGAAGTGCTCTGAT